GATCCAGATGGCCGACAAAATCGTCATTGAGGTCAACACGGCCAGTCCGTCGTTCGAGGGTCTGCACGATATCACCATGTCGGAGGTTCCTCCTCGCCGGAAGCCGTACCTGATCATGCAGCCCGAGGACCGCATTGGAACTCCCCACATCCCCGTCGACCCGGAGAAGGTCGTCGCCATTGTCGAGTCGGACTACCCGGATCAGACGCAGCCCAACGCTCCCGAGGACGCAACCTCGCAGGCCATTGCCAGCAACCTTATTGAGTTTCTGAAGCACGAGGTCAGGCATGGCCGTCTGCCCCAGAACCTGCTCCCCATCCAGTCCGGTATTGGAAACATCGCCAACGCGGTCATTGGTGGCCTGAGCAAGGGCGGTGCCGACTTTACCAACCTCAAGGTCTGGACTGAGGTGTTGCAAGATTCCTTCCTGGATCTGTTTGACTCTGGAAACTTGGACTTTGCCACGGCCACATCCATCCGGTTCTCCCCCGACGGATTCAAGCGGTTCTACGATAACTGGGAGCACTATGCCGGCAAGCTTCTGCTGCGTTCTCAGCAGGTTTCCAACTCGCCTGAGATCATCCGCCGTATCGGATGTATCGGCATGAACACTCCCGTCGAGGTGGATATCTATGCCCATGCCAACAGCACCTGTGTCATGGGCTCTCGGATGCTCAATGGTCTGGGAGGATCTGCCGACTTCCTCCGCAACTCCAAGTACAGTATCATGCACACCCCCAGTACCCGCCCCAGCAAGATCGATCCTACCGGGGTCAGCTGCATTGTGCCTTTCTGCACTCACATTGATCAGACTGAGCACGATCTCGATGTTGTTGTGACTGAACAGGTAAGATATTTTCAGCCATCTACTGGGCTTTATTGACATTATCCAGGGTCTCGCCGACGTGCGTGGTCTGTCTCCGCGCGAACGTGCTCGTGTCATCATCAAGCAGTGCGCCCACCCCGACTACCAACCCATTCTTACGGACTACATGGACCGGGCTGAATACGAGTGCCTGAAGAAGGGCATGGGTCACGAGCCCCATCTGCTCTTCCAGGCCTTCAAGATGCACCAGAACCTGCAGGAGAAGGGAACCATGAAGATCACCGGCTGGGACTGATGCATTTGCCAACAAAACTAATCTACTATAAAATATATACCATCATCATTAGACATGGCGTCGCTGATGTCATTGGCGGAACTGGGTCATCTTGGGTTACGGAGTCTTGTATCATTTCATGTCTAGCGGTTACCTGTTTTGTAGTGACCAACAATCAATTTTCTTCTACATAAATACGTTCTCTCCGGCCTCTCTTCATGAATCCGGTTCTCTGTGTAGTCAGTCGGAGATAGGCAGCGCGGGCGGACATAACATTCAGCGCTACGGAGTTAGATCGAGCATTCCTGCTGTTTCAACTTCATGCTTGGTAAGCAGTAAGGGTATCTTTGTCATGTTGTAGAGTACGGAGTACATAAAGCCATCATCATCAACATGGCCGTGCTCAATATCAAGCTGATCTCTCCAATTCACTCTCGGTCCAAGATAGCCCTATTTCCTCCTACATCAACACCTACAAGATAATCTTCACCATGACAACCCCAACTCCAAACCTCGTCTCCATCAACAAGCTCTCCGGCACCCGCATCCTCATCATCGGCGGCACCTCCGGCCTCGGCTTCGCGGTCGCCCGCGCCGCCCTCGAACACGGCGCCAGCGTCCTCGTCGCCAGCTCCCGCCCCGAAAAAGTCCAGTCCGCCCTCTCCCGCCTCCGCACCTTCTACCCAGACGAGCAATTCACGACCAGAATAGCCGGCACAACCGTCGACCTGGGGGATGAGTCCACCCTGGAGTCGAACATCCTGACCTTGCTAGACAAAGCAACGCAGCCTGATCTCTTCCCGACTAACCCCTCACCCAACACCGCAGTCACATCCGGCAAAAGCGAAAAGGTCCTCCTAGACCATATCGTCTTTACCGCCGGCGACGCCCTCAGAATCCTCCCGCCGACTGACCCAGCCCTCGACCCCGCATACATCCGCGCCCTCACCACCGTCCGGGTCCTGGGCAGCCTGATGCTCGCGAAGCACGTCCCGACTTATATGGCGCAATCGGCGCGGTCATCGCTGACGCTGACGAGCGGGGCGGTGGCGGTGCGGCCGCCGCCGGGGTACAGTGTGGGCGCTATGCTTGGGAATGCGATCATCGGGCTTGGGCGGGGGTTAGCGGTTGATCTTGCGCCAGTGAGGGTGAATGTTGTTGCGCCGGGGGCGGTGCGGACGGAGTTGTTTGGGGGGTTGCCTGAGGAGGTGATTGAGGGGTTGAAGGGGAGGACGTTGACGGGGGAATTGGGGAGGCCGGAGGATGTGGCGGAGGGGTATTTGGGGGTTATGAAGGATGGGTTTGTGACGGGGGTGGTGGTGCAGTCGGATGGGGGGATGAGCATCAAGGCCTGAGCTTCATTGAAGTCATAAGTTATGCTTGTTTAATGTGGATGTAAGTAAGGAAGATGGCAAAGGTAACGAATAACTTGATGCTGATGCTAATGCCGATGCTGTACTAACGCTAAACTGATATCATAACATAACCATAACCATAACAAAGACAAGCATCCATGCTATGAATCCGTCGGGGGACGATATGCTCCTCCCGTGAACCTGACCAGTCAGCCAGTGCATAAGAAGGACAAGAACGAAGGACATACCGACTCCACAGGAAACTAAACAGCCCCTGTGATTGATCCTGGCTACGCTTGGCCCAGCCATGGTCGACATTATAATGCTTCACGTCCTGAAGGCCGGCAAAGAGCCCTCGTCCGGCCGTTGGGTGCTGCCCAGTCATCTGTTAGTCCCATGCCAAAGAGAACATCTGTAATAGGAAGTACATACGCGACGTTCCGCGCCAGAGCGAACCCATAGATCGGCTCCATAGTCATTTTGGAGACGAGAGGAGGAGGATTCCGGCATTTTGTCACGACGACTGCTGCTTCTGACTTGGTTGATATGTTATGTTGTATGCGCTGCTCACTGTTTGCCGCTGTAGTTTCAATGCGTTTTCGCGTTCGCTGGATTGCTCGTGATGCTGATGATATACATCCAGCTTCACCAACCCACCACCCTCTTTATATCCTCAAGGCTTTCCAGCCCCCAAAGAAAGCGGTTGAACCATATCAAAGGCAATCGCGCTTCCGAATCACCTTACCTGACGCCGGAATCGAGATTTCGACGATACCCACATGTTCGTGATGCTTCTGTAGGGTGAATACGGAGGCTGAAAGGCATCATCCAATTAAATTACAGAAATCATTCAGAATTCAATTGACGACGGCATGATAGGATGGCGTGGTCCAGGATCGTGGCGCGGTGAAATGAGGTGGTGTGGTCGCCGTATAGGCGGTGGCATGATCTTAGACCAAGGATGTTCCAACTTCCAGGTCTTGCTAGTACTCTGTAGAGCTTGCCTGTGGAAAGTCAGGATCCGCCTTGTATAATTTCTGGGATTCCATAATTTCTTTCGTAATGTCATTAGTTGAGATTCTAGTTAGTTTGTGAGGTATATTCTGCTGTCATGCGACGGGAGAGCTGATGTTGTTGGCGTTGAGTATGTGGATAGAGCAGCGTAGATACGATTCGAGTGAGAAACCGTCGGAGATTTACGGGATAGACCTTCCTTCTAGTCGCTTTAAGTCGAAATGAAAGCACTGTAAGAAGGACTAAGTCCAGTTCTGTTTCAATGAGACATTGGACCGTGGCCTTCTTGCAAGAAATTGTGTTGTTTCCATCGCAGGCCCCAGGGTCCCGACGCCTTCCCTCTTCGGGCCTTGCTCGACAATAGCCCTAAAAGTTAGCCTAAGAGCTGCAGGAGCTGCATTCCAGCGGCTCCATCATGAGTCCAAAGGAATGCGGCATATAAAGCTGAGTATGGCTGGTCGCCCAGTAGATGCCTCTAAACTTCAACTTCAGATTAAATCCCCCCGCAAATCAGACCAAGAGCGCAAAGATGATAGTAAGAGCTCGACCCGGCGGAAAGTGGCTTCTATGGGGAACAGCTTCAAAAAGGTACGGCCGGCCGCTTGAACTCTTTCACTGGGATAGCGACTGAGTTTTTTAGATGGACGTATCTCCTGATCCTCCCGGTTGGAGGTTTCTGGCTTCTCGGCAGGTTTAGCTTGAGATTTATCGAGGTACCTTGATCCCATAATGGGATTCGAAGTCAGCCTTCCAAACCCATGCCGGATACTTAATGTCTTGCAATCAATAAAGGAGCTAGTAGGCACCTTATAAAATGAAGCAGAAATTAAAGCAGGTCAGACTAAAGAGCAGTCAAAATACACGTCTCTTGCTAATCTTCATAGCTCGTGTAGAGGAAAGGGGGATAAATGAGAGGAAATAAGAACTAAACCTTGAATCCTCTTCCTTGTGGTGTGTTGGTCTAGCCTTGCGACGATCTCAGAGAAAGCGACTCCTTGATGGACCTAAAAGTACGTGATGGTGCGCATAGACGCTGGAGATGCATAGAGCATACTACCAGACGTGTAGGGTTATTGTAATGAGAGCTCGGGCTCAAAATCTGACTTTACTGGCAGCTGAAGTGTTAGGAGGAACTAAGATACTGATGGCGCTAAGATGGATGAAAATCACCGGCACGATTCAGTCATCGTGGGCGATTACTTCCATTCGATTGTGTTATGGCTTGACTTCCTGGTGAGGAATCGCGCTGAGATACTCTCCTTTTCCCACTTGTCAACACTTGTCCCTCTTGACTGAAACATACATTCGCCTCTTTTCCTGGCCTTAGCTTTTCAGCAATTTAGCCCGTTTAAGCCCTCTATTACTCTGTACGCACTATATGGATAGAGCACTGATTTGTGCCGGGTGGTTTGCTAACTCAGTATGTCGCTGATAGTCACCATCCACAACAAGGTCGCAGAATGCCAACAAAACTTGACGTGAAGAAAGCTGTCGAGCCCGCCGCTCCAGCTCTTATACGTCCCAGCATCATATGCATTCGAGCGCTTTGCGCAATATCTACTTTGCCGGTGATCTCCAGCCATGGCCAGGCTTCCTGAGCGCTGTTCAGGCCTGTCACGAAGGCTGTACCTGGAGTCGGCAAATTCTTGGTTACACGCTTCAAGCCCGCGATCCATATACGCATGGAAATGCCGAGGTTGGGGATGAACACGGCGTCCAAGGCCGTTTTCAGAAATTTTTTGGAGACGTACTTGACACTATTTTCGCGTCGCAATCGACCGGTCACATCAATCTCCGTTTTGCAGATTCTAAGTGTATACCTTCTACATACACCGGCACCCCTGACGTGATCATGAAAGACAACCACGACGCCTTGAAGATCGTTGGGGAGCTTAAGGCACCCTGGGTTACCGAGCATCACATTCAACCAAGGCTTGACCGTGAGAGCTCTTTAAGAAAGATACTCGCCCAACCTATCATGTACATGCAAGGCCTGGGCTGCATGTACGGCTTTCTGAGCACATACGAAGAGACCATGTTCTTGCGACAGGTCGTGGACAATAACGGCGTATGGAGGATTGAGTATTCTCCCGTGATCCTGTCGTCCACCGCTTACGATAGACACGAGACACAGCCCCCTGTGATTCTGTGAAGCAATGTTTCCTCTATGTGGGCGTCAATGCGTCCATACACGGACCGGTCAACAACATGTCACCGGGGTGGATTGTAGATATTTAGTATTCCATGACTCCTTTGGTTTCCGGAATCAAGCACATTCTGGGCTATCTTCAGTTGGGAGTAAGAAGCAGTATGCCTGGGATAGAAGGTCAGACAGGCTGTCTGAGCAGACAATGATCGCACTGGTCACATGACCATCTGTCTAATCATGTATAATTATGCGTCACTCTTTCTTCCCCCAAGTTGAATACCCATGGTTTCAGGCTACCTTGCTTTTCTAAGCCCTTCCATTCACAGCTTTGATCATTGTGAGAGCTAATATCTCGTCTACGCCGCTAGGTCAGGCTTAGCGGGCCACCCATCTATGTAGATAGTTTCTTTCTCTCTCTCTCTCTCTCTCTCAGAGTAGATAGTTCGAATATCATGCTTTCGTCTTCTTCCATTCCCTCTCACAGTCATGGCTCCTCGTACCAGAACGACCTGCTTCGATACTCGATTGCTCCGCGGCCTAGTAGGCACTACGGTCACCACATATGACCTTGTCTCCGACGGCGCGTCACCAGAATCTACCTCCTGGAAGTGGGTAATCACAGAGAAACTCTCGGAGAGGGCAAGCCCTTTGACAGAACACGATGTCAGAATGGGCCGCGGGTCTTCTATGACTGTTGGCAAATTTCTGTGCCACCTTGGCAGGGGACCCGAAGCAGATAGCGTTCATGCGAATCTACCAACAGATTCCTATTACTGGAACGGAGGACGCTGATCACGACACACTGGCTAGACAGGCCGTTCCCCATGGCGTGTGTGGTGAGCTGGAGTGCTTCAAACTATTGCAGAGTGGAGGCTGTAGCGCAGCTCCTCGCTTCCTTGGCCATGCAGAAAGAATACAAGGAGAGCACGAACTCCTTCCTGGCGGCTACGTTAGATACCTTGTGTGGGAAAAGGTCCCTGGTGAGCCAATGACAGCGGAGTTCTTCTGGGGCTTGGATGACGCCGGACGCAATGACATTCGTTCTAAGTTCCGTGCTGCCTATAAGTACGTCGATGCAAATCCTGGTACGCAGACAGGATAATAACATAATGAAAAGACAGTTACTTAGTTGCGGCGCAGAACCAGGAGAGGCCAGAATGTCGATGCTCATCTTTGATCAGTCCACAGGCAATCTGTACGTCCGGCATGGCATGCTATGTAATGTGTTGGAAATATATACTAACGGATCACAGTCGCATTTCGGGTTTCCGAAGTGGATGGCCAATTTTAAGTAAACCTGAATGGTCAAAGGCTCGTTACGTCGAGTTTGGACTCGCGAAGCCAAGCAAAGAGACAGACTGGTACCTTCACCCGGAAAAATGGGAGTGGTGACCTATCTTGCTGGCACGCAACGGGAAGAGATGCTGCTGTTGTTGAGTATATAGATTGAGCAGTGAAGATACAATTTGATCGAGAACTGCCGGATCTTGCTCCTAGTCAATATAAACTCGAAAATGAAAGCACATTGTAATAAGAGTCCCGCTCTGTTGAACAGGAGATATTGAAGAGTCATATAGTACGCCTAGGAGCCTAGAGCTCAAGCCTTGAAGCAGAGAGCAACGAATAGCTTCTACTGCGGCAAACTACACCTGGAACCTAACCGGGCCAGACCTTATAGTCGCATCGATGAAGAGGTACATTTGCCCAGAAGGCACAAACTAATGCCATTTCTTGAGTGTACGAACCCTAGATAGCGTTCAGTTAGCTGCTCAATGCCATATCATTCTTTTAGCTCTCTGTTTTGTCTGCCTTGCATTGTATGTGTCAACGTCTTCCAACTATCAACATCCAGTCCAAGTACCTTGACGACTGAGCTCCATCCAGACTTCCTGATAATATCGATACTCGATGTTGCTTATAACCACCATGCTCGTTGCTCTGCAGTTTTCGGTGGATCTTCTATCTGAGTACTGCCTGTGTATGTGAAGGGCTTATTGACGTTTACATATGTAGATAAATTGTGACATATCAATCTCTGAGCCGCAGGATTAGCATCATTTTATCAGAGTGCGTGGAAATGACTAGTTGGTCGCACGCGCACAAAGTAGTTGAATTTGATGGTTTCACCCTAGATCCGATATCATATGTCATTCGGGTACTGCTCATGGACGGGGAATGTCCATCAAGACTCAGGTCTCGATTTCGCCCTCTATCCACGAATGAAGTGTTTCTCCCAAGTCAGACCTTACCGGTCATGTTCAAATTGTAGATTGATTATAACAAGAGATACGTTGATGAGGACCAAGGATGATATCATATCATCAATTGAGCAAAACCATTGATCTTAAGATGAAAAGAAAAAGCTAAAAAAATGACCAGTGCCGGGCTCGATCCGGCGACCTTATCGGTGTTAACGATACGTGATAACCAACTACACCAACCGGCCATTGTTGAAGGATGGCTCCGATTTTTGCTACATAGACCAAGCTAGCCAAGAGCAAGCTAACGGGTTGAGAGGCAAGCCCCTGATCGTAGGTTGCCCCTCTTGCCTTTACACACAACCCATCGGTATTTAAGGATACATTTCTATCATTATCTTCGCATCATTCTGCAACGAACATACATGGCGTATAGTCATTCTTGTTATAAAGGTGTAGTATATCAATATATTCCTTTCAATCAATGGATATGTTGTCTGCGGTTGGTCGATGGTCGATTACCACTGCAAGTTTCTATTCACAACAGCCGAAGCTCAAGAGCCATCAACAGAATATTGGCAGTTTGAGACCACCTCTGAGTCCACGACGTAGTGCAATGCCTATTTGGGACTGGCCTTCTGACTCGTAAAGGCCCTATTGAAACCTTGTCTTAGACAACGGCCCTACGCCCGCTAGTGGACGGTATTGTGGCTTTTGTCTCATATGCAAAGAATGTGATTCGTACTCGGTAGATAATTTTGAGTAACAGTTCCGAATAGCAACGTGCTAGCTGCTAGCGAGCCACTGTTCAAAATGCACAGTCAACCGATAGTGACAAGCGCTATCACCCCTGAGCAGTAAGCGCTTGAGCAGGCTGGTTGGTCGAGCCTTCAGGGGTAACCGAAAGGAATTGCTGGGCGTTGGATTTCTGGGGATGTCACCCCGCAGTCTCCAGGACCGTTCTGTCAACTTATGAATTATGATAGGTTAAGAGGCATGAAAGCTGTAGCTACTATGTTTAGCTGGTGCCGCTGCCGAGCCAGTCCAGATGGGATGCTGAATTGCGAGTCAGGGGTTGTACTGGAGAGAACGAGGACTAACGTGCCCACGATCGTGATACCCCTTCTATTCAAAGGGTAGCGTTCGCGTCACGTTCAATAGTTACCTATACTCCACAATTGGCGTCCAGCGAACGAGAGCGTTGGACTTGTGAGATGGCAATCCACATCTCGGTTGTCGGCTTCAGCCCGAGCCAGCTTAGGACCTGACACACCCGCAGTCCATCACACACAATCTGAAATTTGTGCTACGGACACTACTCCCTGTGTATGGAGACTATCGGGTACTGACCCCGAGTCTGGACATAGTCAGCTCAAATGTCTCGTTATAAGCGGAAAGTACCCGGCGACTATTAGGATAGTGTATATCTTCCAAATGTCGATCATCAGAGATAGTAAGACAACTCAAAGAGACAACAGGCTAATAAGATGGAGATTGACTGGACGCCCAAACGGCGACCACGTTGAAGACTCGACGTGGAGCCGTTTGGTTGATAAATGCAGGAGTTCGTCTTGCCAAATAGACACTGCATATCCGAGGGTGGCCGATGCTCAGGTAACGGTCTCGAACCGAGGAATTGAAAGTTTATGTCGGGCAACTGGGCATCGCTGGCCAAGAAGCCATTAGCCTGAGGAGCTATTGTGATAGTACTAAAGTATCCAAAGATAGCCTCGTTGCAATTAGCCGCAAATTCTGTTCATGAGGCATATATCCTAATCCAGACTTCTGAGGATAGTCCTATGGACTAGATGTAGTACAGAGTTTCATCTATTCATGGTGCAGTTAATAATAACAACAGAGGTTGGTAAAGCGGTGGCTGAGGAACTTTCTACATAGTATTCATCAGCACAAAAATAAATCCACACAAAAATGAGCAAACCCGACTTAAATTGGGGGTGGAACGTCCGGAAATTAAAGCTCAAACAACTGCCAATTAAAATCAAGGATGCAGGATCACAGATGATCAATATGCCTACCTGGGCCTAGTTCTGCATGGTAACGAGTGAAATCTCCACATGGCGGCATTAGCGGAGATGAGTGCCTTGCTGTGTTTTGCCGCTGGAACCAGGCTGCCAGAAGATGAACAACTCTCGGTTCCTTTCTCCTAGGAGTTCAAAGTTCAAAATCAGATGCGACAAGATGAAGTCACCAGACAGTTGGCCAATTTTATAATATGAGCTGGCGGCCTAAGAAATGCAATAACAGTCAGATTGCCAAGTCAGCATGTTACTACCAACAAATTGACAATAATACGGACTACAGTGACTAGACGCGGTGACGGGGGCTGAAACAATAATCATAACTTTAGTACCACCAAGCACGAGTCTCCTGAACGGACCAGCCACTGCGATCTATCTTTATTGCTTCAAAGTCCAAAGACCACCATCGAACACTGGAGAAATGTTCTAGATGAAAGGATCTTCAATTGAATAGAGCATAGTAGATGGAGACGCGAGAATAGTTGGATCTTGTTCAAGTGAAAAATCAAAAGAAGAATCATAATAATGACACGGCGAAAAGTCCCTCTTTTTGACCTATGGCCTCTGATTATCGTAAGGATCAGCCTGGTCTAAGCCGAAACTTGACAATGAGTACAAAGGATGATTAGCCAGCGTCGACTCTAATTTTCTTGCCCCTGACAAACTATCCGAGCCGTGCGGACTACCACTGGTCAACTTCCTCTGGGACACCCAGCAACGCCCCCTCCTATTGTTACCAATCAGCATGATGCGGTGCCTGACTATGCTCAATATAGTCTAACAGATCAGAGTAGTGCCTTACACCGCTGCTGCAGCAGTACGCGCTAAGGTACGCTAATGCCCTTCGACTTGCCCCTTTTGGAGTGCTGGTCCCGGGTCCAGAACTAACGAACAAACGTAGTCATCTCTGTACAGAGTAGTCTGTCAGTCTCCAGGGGGTCCCCCCGGCCACGATCATATCAAGTGGGCTTTGGCTTTTCTACCACCCGCTGGTCGCCCCTACTCGCCTCTTTTCTCCCTCTCTTTTCCCTTCTTCCTTCTCCTCTTCTTCTTCTCTTTCTATCCCGAACTTCCTCAAGTCTCTTCCATCTCAAGAAATCAAAAGAGGCCACCGTGCCCCTCCTTTACAAGCGCTTTATTCACTACCGCTTCACTCGTTCAGCGGGCATTCCTTGAAATTTGCAATATCTTTACGTTCTTATTCACCATGAGGGGTGCTATTCTGGCCACCGCGGCCGCTCTTGCAGGTACCGCCATGGCCGATGTCGCGCACATGCGTCGTCACGGCCATGACTCTTTCCACCAGCGTCGTGCTGCTGTCGCCGAAGCTGATGCTACCTGCGGCTGCACCACCGAGGTCGTCACTGTCTGGGGTCCCCCTACCCGTAAGTCTCCTGAAGTTGCGACCGAATCTGATCGAGCTGGTGTTTGATATGACTCAATGCTTGGTTGATCATGTCAAAAGATACAGCGCTTACAGAGAGCCACTGCTAACGTCAATTAGTGATCCCCGTTGCGACTCCCACTCCCAGCACCGTCACTTCCGAGGCTGTCACCACTTTGCACTCGACCAGCACCAGCACCGTGACTATTGTTGCCAGTGCCTCCACTCCCGCGACCAGCTCGAGCCCTGCTACCCCTAAGGTCCCTCTGCCCACTCCCGCCATCACCAACTTCCCCTCGACTGGTGTCTACACCATTCCCGCCACCACTGTGACCGTCTTCGACACAACCACCGTGTGCGGAGCTACCACTACCGAGCTGCCCGCTGGTACTCACACCTACGGTGGTGTCACCACTGTGGTTGAGACCGCGACCACTGTCGTCTGCCCTTACGCCACCGTTGAGCCCTCTGGCACCACCGTGACCAGCGTGATCAAGACCACCACCTACGTCTGCCCTACTCCTGGCACCTACACCATTGCTCCCACCACCACCACCGTCCCTACCAGCACCGTCGTTGTCTACCCCACTCCCGCCGTCATCACTCCTGGTACCTACACTCAGCCTGAGCAGACTGTGACCGTCACGCGTACCGACTACACCTATGTCTGCCCCTTCACCGGCCAGAACGAGCCCACCTCTGCTCCTGCTGCCCCTAGCACCACTGCCGTCCCTGCTACCACCACCGCCGCTGTGCCTTCCACCAGCTCTGCTGCCCCCTCCAGCTCCAGCACAGCTCCTGCTTCCACCGGTGCCGTCGGCGGCCAGATGGGTATGACCTACACTCCTTACACCAAGGGCGGTGACTGCAAGGACAAGTCCTCCGTACTCTCCGAGGTCGCCAACCTCAAGTCCAAGGGTTTCACCCATGTCCGTGTCTACTCGACCGACTGCAACAGCTTGGAGTACATTGGTGAGGCCGCCCGGACTTCTGGTCTTCAGATGATCATTGGTGTCTTCATCAGCAGCACTGGTGTCTCCGGTGCCCAGGACCAGGTTACCGCTATCTCCAAGTGGGCCCAGTGGGACCTCGTCAGCCTGATCGTCGTCGGTAACGAGGCTATCCAGAACGGCTACTGCGATGCTTCCACCCTTGCCGGCTTCATCTCCTCTGCCAAGTCCGCCTTCCAGTCGGCCGGCTACACTGGCAAGGTCACCACCACCGAGCCCATCAACGTCTGGCAGGCTTACGGCTCCACCCTGTGCGGTGTTTGCGACATCATCGGTGCCAACATCCACCCCTTCTTCAACGCCGATGTCTCCGCCGACCAGGCCGGCAAGTTCGTTGCTCAGGAGATCAAGGTCCTTGAGGGCATCTGCCCTGGCAAGGATGTTCTCAACCTGGAGACCGGCTGGCCCCACGCTGGTAACGCCAACGGCAAGGCTGTTCCCGGTGCCTCCGAGCAGGCTATCGCCATCAAGTCCATTGCCCAGGAAGTCGGCTCCAAGTCTGTCTTCTTCTCCTACTTTGATGACCTGTGGAAGGAGCCCGGCCAGTTCGATGTCGAGCGCTACTGGGGTTGCATCGACACCTTCAACTAAAGCGCGGGTTGAGCTTGCGTTTTGAGAGAATCTAGGGAGGTTTGGAGTTAATCTCAATTTTCTGTCGGCCCAGGATATATCCTTTCATTTTTTTGTGTGTTCGACGACAGTTTCCACCTTATACCATTCTCAATGTACCTCCAAGTTCCCATAGTAGATATTAACTTTTTATTTCATGTCTACCCCCTGGGCCAACCGACTGTTTCTTTGTGTATTGTCTTGTATATGCAATTGATACATACTGATTTGTATCTCCTGCCCAACTTAACGTAACTGTAGCCGCGATCAGTCACATCCATCCGCATGACTATTTCCAGATTTAGTGATCCTTCGAAGCGGGGGTACTACCCTGGTGCCCATTCCTCTCTATCTTATCATCCGCCAGGACCCCGCCCTCGGCAATTGTAAACAAACGTAACAGTTGGATAACACTGCATTACCAACAAGCTTAATCTACAAGTACAAGAAGTAGGAACCCATATCCACCGACGGCCATCATCGACCGACCCAAACTGCCCCTCATGGTATCGAGTATCCACCCTCTACTAGCGACTGCACTGACGAATTAAAACCCACCCCTCGGCCTTATCCTTCCGGATCACACTCACATTCAGTTCTTGTTTCTGCGATATGGAAGCGGAAGAGGACGAGGAGGCTGCTGGCAAACAGGTTGCTAACTCGGTTCCGGTCCATCAGCTTCATCTTTCATCTGGTGATGCCGCGACGCATGAGGCAGGGAGAGGGGACCAGGACTTGACTTACCGCGCCCGGGGCACAGACGAGAGGGACACAGCAGTCGTAGGCGTTTACGGTCGCGTTGCCGCAGGGGAAGCCGACCTATTTGGGTCAATAGTTAGCTTGGCGTGCGCAAGTATTCGACAACGCGGGATGAGAGGATGAGAATGAGAATGAGAATGAGAATGTGAGGGACATATGTGGGAGAGGTGGACTTACGCCGGAGCAGGACTTCTCAGCGGAAGGCAGCGCCACGGCGGCGGAGAGGAGGAGGGTAAGCGAGAGGAGACGCATTTTGGACGCTGAACAGCTTCGAAGTATACCGAAGGGAAGTCGACGATAGGTACGGTACGGAGGTTCTCGGTAAAGTGGATGATCGATGATCGTGGCGGTTGTGGTGGTGGTGGTGGTTGTGGAATCTGTGTTGCGTGACTTGTCAGATTGTAAGGTATCCCTTGATAGGTAGCTTTTACCAACGGTGGTTGTGCTTAAGGTGATTGTCTTCTGCGCCCCCTTGCAAGACGGAGTGCTACCTAGCAGGCTGGCTGTGGCTGCTGGCAGGAGGAAAGGGAGTATTCATGACAGGGTCAACGTACGTACCTTCTGAATGAATCCGATCGACGCACGAGTCTACAAAACACTCTACAGCAGTCAACTGTCCGGAAGTAGAACTCAGAACAGAAGAACGTGGGAGGCTGAGCAGAGCAGCAGGTTATGTACCTCCCCTGTCACACCTGGACCAAGAGCCGAGCGAAAATCAGGAGGTCGGGCTGGTGCGACAATGAGCCTGCATACGGTACCTTCCTTACTCCATAGGGAGGCAAGCATGGGCTGTCTCCGTGCCTGTCTCTCACCCTGTGCTCTGTATTTTTGGAAACGAAGCAGCGACCTGAAACACAATCAGCGGGATCGGCTGTTATGCTGTTGATCAGTGATCAGTGATCTGCACGACGGCGTCCGTACACCTTGTTATTGGACGCCGGGGCGCTGGCTGTGGGTATTGTGTGCTACCTGTTAGCTGTCGATGACATGAGATGGATACTGGGTTCTCCATACCAAAGACGAATGGCACGGAGTTGTCTATATCCAGGGGAATCATGTAGCCTGAAGGTTGGATTGTTATTATTGCATGGCTGGTGGTATACCCTACCTTACTCGTATGTATCAAGTTGACTACGCTGTTCATATCTGGATGGCATTAGGCCACATTATATGCTCGAGCATGATTCCGAGGACTGACGAATACTCCTCGTGGATCCGCTCTGTTGCCTAGACTAGTTGGTCATTACCCACAGCATGCTTGCTCTGATGCAGGCACAATGACGGCAGGGATAGTAGCTCGATGTACGAAGGAGAATCTGACTCGTATATACAAGATCATAGGTAGTCTTGAGAACGCTGTATTGGGAATGCCTGACTCTTTGTACATCGGTTAAGCTGAGTGAATGGTGCATCTTCATCTAAGAGAACCGCCACGATCATAAGTCCCAGCATGTCCATAATGACATCATATCAAGTACTGGCACTGACCAGGGAGATCGATTGCACTCAATACTCCAGCTCGTCACCTACACTACGTATGGCTCCAGCCGACTAGTGTACTGACAATTCCCAAATTAGCATTGCACATCCCTAATACCTGCCTAACAGACATCTCAAAGACCTCCAGGTTTATGACTTGTCGAATGGTTCAACAAAGTGATCAAGCATCATGCACAATGTTCAAACGCCCAATGAAGCCCGCTAATTAACTGTACAGCATTGCCATGCGCCGAAAATCAAGCACCAGCGATGGATGAGGGAAAGTAAAGATCGATGGCGACAAAATGCTTGCAAGAGATATAGAATGACGGTAGAGCTCATCCGCTACTGGAAGTCTCAAGGACGGTTCGTGGTACATGAATAACCAATGACTGATAGGATGCAATGTTTGTTCGAGTTCCATAAGTGCGTGGTTCAAACAAGTGTTCGGCTGCCAGAGCAGAAAAATGGAAACCCCACAACATAGCTGTAATGATGCGCGCTAAACGCTGTAACCCTTGACAGAACCTCAGGCGGCAGTCAGGGTCGAAGAAATGTGTATGTAGAATCCGCATTATGTATTAATCCCCTAGTGATATGGAGAATCGACCGATGGATAAGGCTTGTCGTGAGTACTGATCGTCATGCTTTTTTAGAAAATAGTAAACCGTTTAGATTTGCCAGACTTTCCGGCATCTGTTCCATGGATTAGCTCGAGGCAGCACGAAGGGTCGTTGAACGCACCTAGAGACTTCTGATTCTCTTTTTGCCCTTCTTTTCCATTCTGCGCAGGGCTCCTGCCCTCGGCGGCAGCTCGAATCGTGGCAATCCGATGCTTTGCGCGTTCGTCGCCCTGATCCGCCGCTCTCACGTACCAGACGTTGGCCTCTAATGGATCACGACGGCAGCCAATGCCCATCTCTGTAAAGTATCCGATAGCATATTGCGCTTTCGCCAGTCCTACGTAGAGAGTTAGCAAATTAACCAGTCGAGTCCGTGTGTGCACATACCGAGTTCTGCAGCTCGCTTGGCCCACTCATAGGCCTCGCCTTCGTCCTTCTCCAGAACAGGCTCCGCGCCTACCAGGTACCAAGCGCACAAGGCCATCATCGCCAAGACATGCCCGCTTTGTGCGGCATTGGTATAGAAGTGGATGCTCAATGCCGGGTCTCGAGGACAGGCTAGTTTGCCATGCTCATACGCATCTCCAAGCCGATAGCTCGCCTCGGCATGGCCCAGGTCCGCCGACTTGGTAAACAGCTGAGCTGCGTAGGCCGGATCAGGAAAGACATCATCGCCGAATCCCGTTTCGTGGAGGAGACCGAGTTCGTAAGGCGCAGAGTTGTACTGGGCGTCGGAGGATTCCGCCGCTCGTTTCAACCATTTAATGCCTTCCCGATACCGTTTGCCTAGACCCATGTCGCCCGCCAGACAGGCCTTGGCCATGCGCAGCATGGCCCCAGGATGATTCTTGGAGGCAGCTTGGCGGTAGAACTGTTGTGCTCTAGCCGCTTCTACCCTGGTTCCCCAGCCGAATTCATAACAGAGGGCGGTACGGTAGCATGCCTCGACGTGACCATGCTTGCTCGCGGCTAAGAACAGGGGGAATGCTCGGTCATAATCTTCCTTGCCCTTGCTGAAGAGTCCGGATGCATATCCATCCGCCAAGTAGTACTGCGCAAACGGATAGCTACGGTCGGCCAGACGTTGAAAGATCGACTTGGCTTCCTTGAGGAGACTCTCACGAGTGATTCCCGCCGCTTTTCGGCCATACACTGCGTCCTTGCGTGCTTCATGATCGTCCGGCGGCATTTCCAACATCGCGTTGACCATAAACACGGCGAACTCGTACTGTACCGCGGGGTCGTCCGTTTTCTTCACATTGGCAAGATACATATCAAAGGTCTGTTTGTGGCTGAGCAAGGAGGCATTGTTGCCCACCCAGGATTTTAGATGGGAGTTGTCCAGTTGCCCGGGGGTCGGCCCTGGCTGAGGATAGGAGGTGTTGAGGAGATCGACAAAAGAAAGTGGACGGACATCGGGGGACGAGGAGTTCCTCGGTGAAGTGCGTGCATGAAGGTAGGGAGAAGCACCGGGCGACAAGTTCCGACCATCGCCTCCCATGTCCGAGACGAACGAGTATGTCGAGTTTGGCCGTGGTATACCATGCCGTCTAGCTGAGAGATGCCCGTTGGAGCCGGACAGATTCTCGGCCGAAGCGGCACCAGATGGCGACTTGAGCGCGACCTTGGAGTTACGATAAGGCTGGTGATGATAGTGCAAGGGCTCGAAGTTCTCGGGCCGAGCCTCACTGTCCAAGCTGCCCCGGGAGGAGTTGTTCTGGCTACCACTGGGAGCTGCAGGGTCTGAAGAAGGCTGGATAGGACCATTCGTCTCGTCTTTGAGCTGGTTGTCTATGACAGACCAGGAACCGCTGCTAGCTGGCGTATGCCCGGCTCTCCTCGATCCTGGGGCTGGTGGAGGGGCGTAAGAGTCTCGGCGTGGTGGAAACGCCCCATTGCTGTTCTGGGGATTCTGCGATTGATCCTCAAGCGACATATTGGCTAAAGCAGTGGTGGGAATAGAATTCCCGGCATGACCGTTTCGAGTACTTTCGTGTGCCATGTTGGACGATTGCGGCAAATTCATTTCTTCGTGAATATAGACCGGCGGAACTGGAGGATATTCATTCTCAGATCGAGAGCCGGGCAAGGCCTTGCGTGCAATGTGTTGTGTGGCGCGCTGTTGGGGTATCGACCTGGGGGTTGATTGACTCTGAGACGGCGAAAGCGGGGGAGATGATCGAAGATAGACCGGGGGAGGGGACGATATAGGTTGAGGGTATTCGCCTGCTACCGAGCTTGCCATTTTCCCCTGAGAGACAGATTATGTGGCGGCAACGATAGGAGACAGGATTCCTGTATTGCCGTCTGTTCAAAAGACTGTCAAATCGATCTGGAGCGAGGGGTGATTGAAGATGGAGGGGGCTTAGAGATCCGACGGCATCGAGACTTGGTCAAGCGAATGTGCAGTAATCGTGAAAGATGGTCGGACTTATAATTGCGTAGAATATGGTGCGAATTGCAGTGATAGCGACCGAGTGAAGACCTGTACTGTGCCCTGGGGATGAAACCAGGATCGTGGAGAAGTAAAGGGTCAACTGGAGGGGACTCGGGGTTGGGTCCACTGCCTCGCAGTAGTAGTAAGTACTCCGAACCTGTCAACAGCAGGGAGAGGCTGGATGGTTGGATTTCCGTATATTTGTCTCAGGATACAGCACGGATGAGGTGAAGACGCAAATCCGAGAGTGTAGTCTGAAGTTGAAGCTCGAAAGCCAAGTGAAAATCTCAATTGCCTGACTGAGCGAGGGATTCTCTACTTTTTTTTGGAGAGGAGGAGACTCTCAGAGAGATGCACCAAGTGGGCGAATATGAAGAGTCCAACTCCATAAGTGGCTCTAGTCTGATCATTAGCTGCGGCTTTAGACCGGTTCCGCCCCGTATTGATCTGGGTATTACATTTACCTGTGGACGGTACCTATCTTAGGCAGACACAAGTATTATTTGGTTCAAAGAAAGCAGCAGAAAAGAGTCATGAAACCCCCACCTGAGGCACAGTGGAAATGGTCATGTGGGATCGTGGTATTTTTCTCCCTCTCTAAGCTTGAGCTTGTCTTTCTCCTTCCATCTTGCTTTGGCTGGAAACAGATCGAAGGTGGTGTAAAATCACTGGACTCGTTAAATATCCCAGAAACATCTGAATGCTAATTTCTGTTTCTGGATTAA